GACGCCTGCGCTTTTTGCTGGGACGGCCGAGTGGATTGCCAGGTGAGATCGGGGGACAGGTGGGGGACAGGGGTGACATTCCCAGCATCCCTGCTGCCCTGACCCTGCTCCCACAGGTGCCAGAACTGGGAGGGTGGGATTGGCGGCGTGCCGGGCATGGAGGCTCACGGTGGCTACACTTTCTGCGGCGTGGCCGCGCTGGTCATCCTCAAGCAGGAACATCTGCTGAACCTCCGGAGCCTGCTGGTGAGTGACCCTTCTCTGAATCCCGGGGCTCTCATCCTGCCAGGGATCTTTGGTCCCACACTGGTTCCCATCACCCCACAGCACTGGGTCACCGGGCGGCAGATGCGCTTCGAGGGCGGATTCCAGGGCCGCTGCAACAAGCTGGTGGATGGGTGCTACTCCTTTTGGCAAGCCGGGCTCCTGCCCCTGCTCCATCGGGCACTTCATGCCAGGGGTGAGTTGCCACAGGCTTCCTCTGCACCCAGAATGGCATCTGGAGGGATTTGACACCTGCTGTGGTGTTTCTCCTCTGGGTTTCCCTTCCAGGCGATCCAGCGCTGAGCATGGCGCACTGGATGTTCGACCAGCTGGCACTGCAGGAATACATTCTCCTGTGCTGCCAGTGCCCAGCTGGCGGGCTGCTGGATAAGCCAGGAAAGTGAGTGCGGGGGGAAACACAGGGCTGCCTGGCATCAGGGATGCCCAGATGCCCCCTCAGCATCCCAGCATCTCTTTGCATGCAGATCCCGGGATTTCTACCACACCTGCTACTGTCTGAGTGGGTTGGCCATTGCACAGCACTTTGGAAGTGGAGATCTCCACAATGAGGTGGTCCTGGGTATCCCTGAGAATTGCCTGGTAAGTGCTAGGCATTGCTGGGGAGGGCAGGGATGTGTTTCCAGCGCTCCACAGCACTGAGAAAGGCAAATCCAATGGCAGTGAAAAGACTTGGGGTTCAGCCTGGAGAAGAGAAGGCTTCAGGGGGAGCTTAGAGCTGCCTCAAGGGCCTAAAGAGCTTCAAGGGAGCTGGAGTCAGGCTTTGGACAAGGGTTTGGAGTGATAGGACAAGTGGGAATGGCTCCAAACTGAAAAAGGGGAATTTTAGATGGGAAATGGGCAAGAAATTCTTCCCTGTGAGGGTGCTGAGGCCTTGGCACAGGCTGCCCAGAGAAGCTGTGGCTGCCCCATCTCTGGAAGTGTCCAAGGCCAGGATGGACCAGGCTTGGAGCAACCTGGGATGGTAGATTCCCTGTGCACAGTGGGTTGGACTAGGTGACCCTTAAGGTGCTTTCCCCCCCAAACCATTCCAGGACTCCACGATGAACATCCCCTATCCCTCTCTCTTCCCACAGCAGGCCACACACCCCGTCTACAACATTGCCCCGGAGAAGGTGGCGAGGGCGGTGATGCACTTCCTGCAGTATCCTGTGCCCAGCCTGGATCTGGCATCCGCTGCCGAGTAGGGGGGTCCCGCTGCTGGCTCGGGGTGCCCCGGCAGCGAGCGGCACAGCCCATCCCGCGGCGGCCTGGCCAGGCAGAGCACGGTGCTCAGGGTGCTAGCAATACCAAAATCCAGCCTGCTCCAGGCCGGGTGTCCTGCTGCCATCCTGGCCGGAGCCGAGGTGGGACACGGGCTCTGGCAGAGCTTTTTGGCATCAATAAACCAGAAGTCACACCTGCCGTGTGCTGGTGGCCCCGGGGATGCGGGGCAGGAGGTGATGCCACGTCTGGATCCGGTGGCACCGACTTCCCCCATTCCAAGAACACACGGTAACCACGGGGGAAGATAAAATAAGTGGAATTTTGGCTTTTTTTGTTTATTATTTATAGTCTTATAGTAAAGGGAAGCCTTAACTTGCAAGACAACTCTGGGCAGTATGTACAACATACCTTAGATCCATGGAATGGCATCAAAATGGGGGGAAAAGGGGCACCTACGGGGCAGGGACGGGCCACTGGAGTTCGGAAAATGCCACGGAGGTTGGGAAAGGTCAAGGGAGAGAAGGAGGAGGAGGAGGAGGAGTGGGGAAGGAGCCCCCAAGCCTGGCTCTGTGCTCCGCCGACTCGGGCAGGTGGAGTTGCACACGGAGAAAATAAATAGGGAGATCCCCCCCCAGTGCTTGCTCCTTTTTTGGGGGGGGGCTGCCTGGCTCCTCCCCGTTCTGGACTGCACTGGTCCCCGGGTATAAATAGAAATGCTCCTATAAAACCAGGAGGGAAGGGGAGGGGGGGTCGCTAGCGGAGGGGAGTTGGCGGGGGAGTCTCCCTGACCCCCCCAAGTCTTTCTGCTCGGCCTGGCCGGCTCCCCCCGGGGCCGGCGCGGTGGGAGCAGGGAAGGGGCCGGGGAGGGCTGGGAAGCTGCAGTCCAAGAGCTTCTAGGAGCGGAGGGAGCGAGTCCTGCCGCGGGCCGGGGGGCGGCGGAGGGGCCTAACTGGCCTCCATGCGCAGCTTCTTCCTGTTCTGCGGCTCGTCGGGCTCCGAGTCGGAGCTGGAGTCGGAGCCGCCGTCGAAGGCGGAGATGGCACTGCCCTTGGGGTTGGTGTAGAGGCTGTTGTCCGCGGGATAGCTGGCCTGGAGCTGGGCGCTGGCTCGGGCCTTCTCCAGCGCACGCACTGTGAGGGACGGCACTGTGTCACCCCGGGCCTGGCCCTGCCTGCAGCCCAGCGCCTGACAGGCCCCAGCTCCCACTGCAGCCTGGATCCCAAACTCTTCCAGACCCCAGCTCCCACTGAATTCTGGACCCTGCCGAACTCTGGTCCTGCCAGACCTCAGCTCCCCCCAGATCCCAGCTCCCAGTGGATCTCAGCTTCCACCAGATCCTGGACTCTGATGGATCATATACTTGCCAGACCCCATCTCCAACTGGATCTTGGATCCCAAACCCTACTGGACACAAGATCCTGGCTCCCAAAGCCTGCCAGGCCCCAGCTCCTGGATCTCAGACCCTGCCAGACCCCATCTCCAGCCAGATCTCAGCTACCACCTTGCTGCTCCAGCAGCGCATTCTGCCGCTTGAGGTCGTCGATGTCCTGCTGGTGTGTGTGGTTTTTCCGGCGCATGTACTGGATGTACTCTGTGGCTTTGTCCAGGATTTGGGCCCGGGATGCCTGTTGCAATAGTGGGAAAAGCCAGAGGCAAGATAAAGACCTAGTCCAGGGAGGAAAACTGGAGTTTTACCTGCCTCATCCCACCCTGGCTCTGGTCCTCGCTGGGGACTCCTGTGGCACAAGAGAGCCTCGGGAATGTCCCAAATTGAGGAGCCTGGACCACGGGTGGGTGCTGTCCGTGCTCCCAGCACGCTCCATAAACTCACCTTCTCTCCTTGGAGCGAGGGCACGGAATCCCGCAGGCTGTGGAAGCTATCCTTGATGTGGTCCCTGCGCTTGCGCTCCAGCGCGTTGTGATGAGCCCGTTTGTCGGCCTGGGAGCGGGGGAACAGGGGTGGCACCGGGAGGAGGCCACCACCTGCACCCCCAAAATTCCCTCTGGGAATCGCTGTGGGAGCTCAGCTGAGCGCCCAGGGCGGCTCCTTGGCCGTGACGCCTCCGGCTGGGCCGCGAGGGCGTGGGAAGGAGGCGGCTCCCGGTGCTTTCGGTTTCCCCAGCTTCCTGCTGCCGGGGCAGCTCCGGGCCCCGGGGTGGGTTCAGCACTTTCCCCCTGGAACACGGTCACCTCCTCCCCTGCTCCCCAGCCAGGAACAAGCTCCCCCCGGCATGTCCTCTGTCAACCCTGGTGTTGTTCTTCCTGTGCCCCCCAAACGCAGCCCCGGCCCCACACGTAACGCCCCCCCAACACCCCTGCTTTACCCCACTCCCCCTCCCCTAAAGAGCCCCCGATCCTCTTTCACACAACCCCAAGCCCCACTGGTGTCTCCCCCCACGGGACCCCCGGTGCCACAGGACACCCCCAAACCCAGCTACCCCCCCAAAAGACGTGACTCCATGGATCCCCTTCTGTGTCACAACCTCCAACCCAAATAAAACCACCAAGCCCAGAGGTGTCACCTCCCCAAGCCCAACCCTCCTCCCCAAAAGACCCCCAACCCTACTGGTGTCCCCCCCTTCCAAGAATCCCATCCCCACAGGGATCCCAAGCCCAAGATCCCCATCCCCACAGATCCCTCTCCATGTCACAGCCCCCCCAGAAGATCCCAGCCTCAAAGATGTGTTCCCCTCAAAAGGACGCCCGACCCCACTGGTGCCCCCGTCAGCACCCCCAACCCCACTGAACGCGCCTATCCCCACAGGACACGCCCAACATGCCCATCTCCCCCCGGCTCCCCATTCCCGCAGTCCCCTTCCATGTCACCCCCTCCCCAAATCCCGCCCCCCTCACACCCCCGCCCACGTGCTCCCGATCCCGGGGGCGCTGCGGGGCGGCCCCCAGCGACCTACCGCGGACTGAAACCTCGGCTGCTCCTCCTGAGGAGCCCCGACCCGGGCGAGGAGGAAGAGGAAGAAGATGGTGGGGGGGGGCGCCGCCATATGAAGGAAGAACACACACAAACCAAACATTACCCCATTCCCAGAGCTCCTAATGTGGGGAAGAGCCACGGGGGGTTATCCAAGGGATTGTCCCGGGGTTGGGGGCCCAACTCACGTCGCTCTCCACCTCGATGTCATCGTTGTCGCTCATCGCTCCCGCCCGGGTGAAGCCGCGGGCCGGGCCGCGCCGCCACAACAACAGCCCGCACCGCGCATGCGCGGAAGTCGGGCGGGGGTCAATGATGGCGCCGGGCGACGCGAACGGTCGCGGGAGTTGTGGTTTGAGTGGGGAGATGGAGGCGTCTTCCACGTGGCGGAGACTACAGCTCCCGGCGTACATCGCGCGGGGCAGCGCGTGGCACGCCGGGAGTTGTAGTCTCCGCTTCGGGAAGGGGACGCTGAGGGTGCGCGGCCGGAGGATGGAGGAGGTGAGGGCCAAGGCCATTGAGGGAGGGGGTTTATTGAAGGAAAATGGGGATGGGGTAGGTCAGGAAGTCTGCGGGGCCGGCCTGGGGGGCTGCGGACTGAGCTAGAAGGGCTCTGGGACAACCTAAAGGGGGCTGCAGGGTCTGCCTGGGGCGCGTGTGGGTCTGGTCTGAAGGGCTGGGCCGGTGTCCATCTGCCTGGGGGCTCCAGGGTAGCCCTGCGAGGTCTGGGGTTTGGATGCGGGCTAATATGGGAGGGCTGGGGGTCTGCCTGGGGTCTGCAGGACATTGTGGGGGGCTGCAAGCCTTGCTAGAGGGTATGTGCATCTGCTCAGGGGTCTGTGGGCCTCACCTGGCGGGGCTTTGGCCAAATTTGGGAGGGCTGTGGATCTGCCTGGGGGGCGTGAGGGGCTGTGGATTTGGGTGTGGTGGCTCTGGGGCTGGAATGGGGGCCTGCAGGTTTCACCTCAGCAACTACATCATAATTTGGGGGGCTAAGGGCCTGCCTGGCCCACAGTGTGGTACCACAATTTGGGGGTCTCTGTACCACAATTTGGGGGCTTTAGATCAATCTGGAGCCTGTGGACCTGACCTAGGGGGTCCATGGGCCAGCCTGGGTGTCTGTCAGCCAGTGTGAGGGGATCTGGGCTGCCTGGGGGCTTTAGGCTTAGCTCAGGGGGTTGCAAGCCTGGCCTGAGGGGGTTTGCAGAATTTTGGGCCCACCTGGGGGGAGCTGTGGAACCCCCTCAGGTACCAGGAGCAGGATGGGGCCCAGGACAGGCTGTCCCTATCCCAGCCGTTCCCCATCCTCTTTTGGCAGCTCGTTCTCCCTGGTGGCCTCAGTTGGGTGCGTGTCATCATCCTCTTTGTCCCCGTCACCGTCAGAGCCAGTCTCATCCGAGTTGTCCTCCAGGTAGCGGTATCCACGTGTTTTGTGGCGTGGGCGTGGGATGCGGGGCAGCCGGACTTCCATGTTCCACGCCACCTTCTGCTCCATCCACAGGTATGTCCCCACCGCCACCACCAACGTCAGCAGCATGATGGACAGCTTGGCCTGCGGCACATGGAGTTTTGGGATTGGCGTGGGGGTGTGTCCCCAAAAAGCCTGCAATGTCTCAGAGTGGGCTGGGGCATATCCGGGACTTACCTTCATGGGCAGCCCCGACCACAGGTAGACAGTGAAGATGGCCAGGGCCTGCCACCAGTGGTAGATGGTGAAGATGAAGTCTTGGCGCTCCTTTTTCTTGTACAACATCCCCAGGAGGACTGTGGCAGAGACTGGAATCAGTGTCCCCTTCCTGTGCCGTGTCCCCTTGGCATGGGGGACAATCACAGTGAGTCTGTCCTATGGATCTGAGGACTGAGACCACAAACTCGTGGTGCCAGGGGACACGGGGAGAGGCTGTGTGGAAAAACCTGGGACAACCCAGGCTATTTTGGGGACCACCGAGGCATTTTGGCAACAACAGAAGCCGTTTCGGGACCTTCCCACTACTCACTGCTGATTCCAGTCTTGTTGAGGGCACTGCCTGTGCCCCAGAGCGCGGCAATGCTGTAGAGCAGCGGCGCCTGCGCCAGGTACCGGGGCTCCGGCGCCCAGCAGAAGAGCGTCACCAGGAGCACAGCGTGGATGAAGGCTCCAGCCAGGAGCGGGATGTGCCGGCGCAGGCGCAGCGTGCACAGGGCCAGGCTGGAGCACACCGAGGCGGAGAAGCCGTAGGCCATGAGGAGATACGCCAACCTCTCCAGCCCGAGGGCGCACACGCCGTAGTTCTGCAGCGAGCGCGGGCTCAGCATCGCCTGTCCCCGCTCCGTCACCTCCCACCCCATCGCGCGTCCTACCAGGGAAAATCCAGTGCAGACAAAGAGCACCTCGAAGCCGCTGTAGATGAACAGCGGGAAGAGATGCCGCAGCCGATAGTCCCGCATGTGCTTGAAGGGCAGCTGGAAGATGTTGCCCCAGCCGATGCTGCGCATGTCGATCTCCTCCATGGGCCGGTACGCCGCGCCGCACAGCACCAGCACCTGCGGAGCGCCGTCAGGTGAGGTCCCGCCATCGTCCAGCCCATCCCTGTCCCCTCCCGCCCCGGCGCTCACCACCAGCATGGCGAGGAAGGCGGCGGCCATCAACGCGCTCTCCACGATGATGAGGCTGACGCTGCGGGGAAGGCTCTGCAGCACCGTCTTGTTGAAACCAGGCAGCGTGCCGTGGCTCAGGGTCCCTGCCAGAGGGGCACAGGCCGTGCTTAATCCCAACCGGGGGGCTCCCGGTGCCGCCCCGCGCCCCGCCCCGCAGCCTCACCACAGTGCTTCACTGCAAAGAGCGTGTGGTTGAGCTGGTAGAGGTAGTTGTTGAGGAAGAAGACCATGGGCATCTGAGCGCAGACGAAGCTCAACTGAAGGATGTAGAGGAGGGCACGCTCAGCGCTGCTGGCGTGGTGCCCCGCCCATCCCAGCCACCCCAGCGGGGCTCACATGGAAGCAGGAGTAGAAGACGGTCTGGAAGACGATGATGTAGGTGTTGCATGCATCCCGTGGCGCCCGCTGCCTCTCCCTCTCCTGCTCCTCCTTGTAGTTAACGTACTCGTAGTACTTCTGGGCCATCCTGCGTGGAGCAGTGGGTCAGCCGGCACCCCGTGCACGCCCCACCCACGCCCCGATGCCTACCGCATGATGTAGGTGCCCATGGAGGCCCAGAGGGGCACGATCACCATGCCAATGGCCACCGCGGAGGGCACCAGCGTGTAGTAGCGCTCCCAGTAGTTGCTGGAGACGAAGAGGGCGTAGATGCCGACCGCCAGGAACATGGCCCACTTGGTGCCAAAGAACCTGCCGGGGCAAGGAGCGGAAGGGTGGGTGGCCATGCCAGGGAGCCGTGCTGGCCGGGGCATGGCGGGGCCGTACCTGATGAGGATGGGTGTGTAGAGCAGCGCCGCCACGGGTGTGACATTGATGCCCATCAGCACCTTGCGGTCGATGTCCTCCAACCGGATGTTGCTGTACTTCACCTCCCGGTAGGTCTCGTCATAGTGAAGGATCAGCTGCATCTGCAGCAGACCTGGGAGGGTCCAGGGGTGGTCACCCCATGGCCTGAACACCCCGAGTTGTTCTGGGGGTCCCTGAGGGGTCCCATACCCAAGTAGACGCTGTAAGTGAGGGTGCCAGCCAGGCTGGCAGCCACCACGTTCTTGATGACACCAAGGCGCTTGCGGCGAAAGTACTTCTGCTCCTCCTCCTCCTCATTGTAGTCAGGGTTAGCACCCACAAAATCATCCAGCTGTGGGTGATTCCAGCTGTCACCCCTTGGGGATGGCCACCACGGGCCTGCTTCCCCCCCACCAGGGGTCCCCCTGGTCTCACCTGTGAATCTGTCCCCTCGGTGCCCAGCATGGCACTTGGCACTGTCTTGGCCCCATCCTGGCAGCCGTCAATGTCCTTCTCCATTGGTGCTTTTGGAGGGCCCTGGATGGTGTCAGGGTGGGAGGGACCATGTTGGCACCTCAAGTCTTGCACCCATATGTTTTGCATCCCTGTGACCTGCACACACAGACCTCATGCCCAGCACACCCAGCCCTTGCACCGCTACATCCAGCACCGTGTTCCCATGTACACGGCATCCCCAAGCCCTGAACCTCTGTGCTCTGCACTCCCAGATCACGCACTCGTGGTTGCACCCCTGTGTTCTGCACCCCTACACCTTCAGATCCTGCACCCCTGAATCCCGTGCCCCCTACCCAGAAGTGCACCTCCGGGCTCAGCACCCCCGCCCCGTCACACCGACCCCAGCCCTGCTTGCCCGTGCCGGAGCTTCTCGGGGCGGGGCGGGAGCTTCTTCCTCTTTCGGTTAGCACAGGCGGGACGGAGGTGGTTAAAGGGGCCGTTCCCGGATCCCCCCGCCCCGCTCCCGGACCCCCCGATCCCTGCCCGCCCTCCTCATGCCCCCCACCCGCGCCCCTTCTCAGCAGCCCGGCCTCTGCAGCACGCATCACACCCCAGCCCGCACAGCACCCTGACCCCCCCGCACAGCACCCACTGCTCCCCCATCGCACGGCACCCCAGCCCTAGTCCCCTCTGCTTCCCTGTGACCCCCCAGCCTCCCCAGCGCTCCCACCAGGCCTCGGCGTGGGTGCTGCCTCCTCGGGGTGCCCCGTGGCAATGGGTACTGCGCCCTGCTGCTTTCGCTTCCCCCTTCCCGCTCCGGGGGATGTGCCAGAGTGCCTGGGCGGGGGGACATCCCAATCGGGAGGTGTAGGGCACGTGCCTGCCCTGGTGTCACCCCAAAGCTGGGGCCGGGAAGGTGTCCGGGTGCGTGGCACGGCGGGGTGCCCCGGGGCAGGGCGAGGGGACTGCTGGGCAGGGCGGACGGGGTGACATCTCCGGGGCAGGATCTGGCCCAGCCGGTAGCGGGGGATTCTTCAGATGGGACTCTTGGGAGGGTGCTGGCTTCTGTAGGATAGGGGGGATACACATGGAACAGCCCCAGGAGGGTCATGGCAGTGGGGCAGGGGCAACACCCATCCTGAGGGTCTCCCACACCCCAGGCAATGGGAGCCACCCTGGGGTGCTGGAGCAAAGAGCCCTTCCTGGGAGCAGGATGAGTGGAGTCTATTGATCATGGAACCCTTGGGAAACAGGATGAGGGCTGTTGGTGGGATCCCTATGGGTTAGGGTAGTCATGGTAGCAGCATGGTAGGTGTCTATTGATCATGGAACCCTTGGGAAATGGGATGAGGGGTGTCTGTGGGAACCCCATGGATCAGGGTGGTCACAGGAGCAGGATGAAGGGTGTCTGTGAGGTCCAAATGGGTCAAGGTTCATGGTGGTGGTGTGGTGGCCATGGGAGTTCCACCATCCCAAAGGGGAGGTCCCATTCCATCCTATCCCATCCCAGACCTTGTCCCCACTGCCAGCCCCATGGAGGCGGGGCCCAGTTCTTCCCGCCCCTGGCCATGGGGCCCGGCCCCACAGCATTTAGGGACCCCCACCCCAAGCCTCAGCAGTGCCTGCCTGGCCTCGCGCTCCTCCAGCTTCCACACAAGCTCCCAGGTAAGCACTGCGGGGTCCCCAAAACTGGCAGTCCCTGCATGGCACCATGCTGGTGGGGGCTGTGGGGCACAGGGGGTGTTCCCTTAAGGAAGGGTGGGTGTCTGGGCATGGGGAGGGAGAGGGTGACAGATGTGGGACTGCAGCTCTGCTCCCCGGGTTTGGGCGTGACTTGTCCCTGAGGTCCCCATAGGTGACCCTAAATCGGCAGGGCAGCCTGGGCAGGTCAGTGTCTAGAGGATGGTGATTATCCCGGGAATCCCAGGCATCTCCCAGGGCCTCTGGCAGCTGCCCTGGGCTGAGTCACCCCACAACCAGGACGGCCCCGAGCACCAAGTCACCCTTCAAAGGTGCCGCGAGTGACTCCTTGGGATCGAGCCGGCATCTCCAGCACTTCCATCCTGGCATAACCCACGCAGTGTCTCTCCCCAGGGCCACCACGCTCTCCATGGAGACCGGCAGCTCCTTCCAGCAGCTTGGCATGCAGCAGGCCCTCGAGCCCCCCAGGCAGCAGCTCCTGGGCTACGGCAAGTGCAGCAGCACAGGCAGCGATCCTGGCAAAGATCCTGGGAAAGCTGCTGGGTGCAGTGGAGGCAGCGGGATCGGGAAGGGGCCGGTGCCAATGGTCTGCAGCACTCCGTGGTGAGAGCGAGGGGCTGGGGCAGGAGGGAGACAGGGAGGTGGGCAGGGGAAGCTGTGGCAGTGCCAGGACAATGGGGACCCCAGGTTGGTGCTGGGGGAAAAGTCTGAGGTCTGTGAGCCACCATGTCCCAGCATGGCCCAAGGGAGAAGACAGGATCTGCAGGGAATGGTGCTGTGTTGGGCTGCTCCCAGCAGCAAGGGAGACAGGTGTGTGCGGGCTCCCTGCGCTGTCCCCAGGGAATCTGGAGTCCAGTTTGATGCTGGAATGGGGTAACGTGGATCTGGGATGACATGAAGCTCTGGGGAGGTAGAATGGAGCTGGGTCCCCTCTAACAGCCTCGTCCCTGCAGTGGGAACCCCTATGCAGGACTGGTGAGCCACCTGCGGGCATCCTGGCTCTCTGGGAAGACGCGGCCCCTGGAATACCGTGTGGCACAGCTGGAGGCTCTGGGACGCTTCCTGGATGACAAGAAGCAGGAGATCCTGGAAGCCACTGAATTGGATATGGGCAAGGTAAGAGGGGCTGGGAATTGGGGGCCACTGGCATCACATCTTTGAAGTCCTTCATACTCCCTTGTCTGGGTATTGCATCCTTGTGGGGGTCTGGGCACAGGGGTGTCCCTTCCTTGGCATCCTGATTCCCCCTTGATGTGCTCCCAAGCTAGTGCATCTGTAAGTGCTGGATCCGTGCAGATCCAGGGATAGTGGAGGGACCGTGCTGTTGATCCCATCCCTGGTGCCCTGAAACCAGGCAAAGGTCCTGTCAGTGAACAGCCAGGGTGGGAGTGTTTCACACTCTGGTCTGCATCCTGGGGGTCCATGTGACTTCCACAAGGTTGACATCCTGGGGTGCTCCTGGCCAGCCCGGCACACCCGGGATTACTGGCATTATGCAACGTGCTGGCACTGCACATTCCTCCCAGGGCCTCCAAGGGACTGGTTTCACTGGCACGGTGGCATGGGCAGGGCTCTGGCTATGGTTCAGGGTATTGTGGCATGCCAGGAGCTCCTGGATGATCTGCTGGTGAAGTGGGAGCATCCACACTATGGATAATTCTAGTGGTTGCACCTCATCATCTCTAGAAGCGTCCAAGACCAGGTTGGATGGGGCTTGGAGCAACCTGGGCTAGTGGAATATGTGTCTGCCCATGTTGGGGTGGAATTGGATGAGCTTCAAGGTCTCTTCCAACCCAAACCATTCCAGGATTCCATGAGATAATCCTCACCTCTTTCTTCGGCATCAGTGAAGGGGCCCATGCCCTCAGTGATGTCTTTCCACATCCTGCCATCTCCCAGGGCTCCTAATTGCCTTGTTTGTTGGAGGCAAGGCCTTCTCCTTCAGCCAGGCCTTGATAGGCATCAGTGCTCTGAGTGTGTCCATCATCTTTCCTAATTATGCCTAATTAGATCCGGTTGTCCAGTAATGAGCTTGTTATGCAGCCGGGCCCTCATAGCTAGATGGACACTTCACCTGCTCTTACGTAGCTGAGGAGGTGTCTCACCTCCAGCGGTGCCGGTTCCTCGCTGGTGCCGATGATTGTGGCACTTGGATGACCTCAGACTTAATGTCCTATCTCACAACCTTTGTATCCCATCAAAATTCTTAATGAACCATCATCTTCCTTATCCTGGTGATGCCATAATCGTCCTGGGTTGAGAACGGCCCCGTTGCTTCACTCCATTATCTCATGTGCCTGCTGAGCCCTCGCTTCCAAGAGGGTCCTCGCACCTCCTGGCAGCTGCATTTAGGGACCTGAAGGTCTCTTGGTGGTGGAAGATCCTGGGAATCAGCAACAAGCCTTCCCAACCCCAAAGTGGTGTGGGGATGGGAGGAAGACTCCAATCCAGGGGTGGTTTTGGGTTGGAGGAGTCCAAAATATGATGTTGCAGCACAGGAGCTTTGCTCCCCCTGCTCTCCACAGTCATGAAGGGGCTCCACTGAGCCTGCTGGGCTATCCCTGCTGGAGTCTTCACACTTCTCCTGCAAGGATGATATGATCCCAATCTGTGCTCCACAGCTATCACGAGGACCCACTTCTCCATCACAAGGGGTTTAATTAAGCTGTGGTTCTTATTACTTCCCTTTAGTCAAGGTTTTAAACTTTGACTAAACTTAAGACTAAAAGGTGCAGCTTTTGTCCACGGACAGTGGAAGGGAGCTTGGGGCTTTGCTTCCAGCTTGAATATCCAAGTGGTAAGGATTCCTTCCACCAAGACCAGCTCTTCAGGAGCTGTGGTGACATTGCTTGGGTATCCCTTTGGCTTGGGGCTCTGTTGCCATTTCACAGTGCTCAGCTCAGGAATTTGTTAAATACCATGAAAATGTTCGATTTTGGGTTTTTTTCCCTTCTGGCCAAGTAACTATTTTTATAAAATTTCTGGGTCACTGATATTCCCCAGGAGTTACAGGTGATGGAGACTTCTGCTGAAGAGATCCTCCTGCTATTCATGTTTGGAAGAGGGGAGAGATGCCTCCTGGGGTGATGGGGTTGGGGTGATGGGGTCTGTGTTAGGGTGACAGGGTCACTGATGGGATCAGTGTTGTGGTGGCACTTCCATGATGTCTGTCCCCAGCCATCCTTCGAGGCTTTCTTCAGCGAGATCCTCCTCTGCAAGAATGAGCTCAATGTCACCCTCAACAACCTGTCCCACTGGATGAAGGACGAGTACGTGGACAAGAACCTGGTATGAAGGAAGCTCTGGGGAAAGGGAAGTGGGGGAGAGGGATTGCTGGTGGGGAAGGCAGTGCTGAGGTCATGTTCTTCCTCGAAGGTGATGCAGCTGGACTCTGCCTTCATCCGCAAGGACCCTTACGGGGTGGTGCTCATCATAGCACCCTGGAATTACCCCATCCATCTCTTCCTGGTGCCCCTCATCGGGGCCATCGCTGCCGGTGAGCCCAAACTTCCAGTCCCATGGCCTGGAAGTGCCAGGGTCTCCCCAGGGATCTCGTCCCCAGAAGTGGGGGCTGTCACCCTGTCACTGTGCTGATGTCCTGTTCCTCTTCCCCCAGGGAACTGTGCCATCATCAAACCCTCAGAGATCTCCAAGAACACAGAGAGGCTTGTTGCTGAGACACTGAGCTGTTACCTGGACGATGTGAGAAACCTTTCTTTCCTTGTCTGTTGTTCCTTGACTATGGTGTTCCCAATCCTGCCTCACACCCACCATCCCCACACATCATCTATGTGCAGAACCCCCTCCCTCTATCTTCAGCCAATGTCCCAGATTCCTGGCATGCTGTTGGTGGGGGCAGATGGTGACAAGAGGGGATTTTTTCTCTTTCCTTGCAGGACTGCTTTGCTGTGGTGACTGGCGGCGTACCAGAGACCACCAGGCTGCTGGAGAACAAGTTTGACTACATCTTCTTCACTGGTACGTCCCATGGGACAGAGCAGAGCCCTGCCTGGATATGATGGAGGATCTGCTGGAGGATCTGGGATGTGTATCTGAGGTCTGGTGGGACCCAGTGCCAGACTCCAGAGCCGTGCGATGGCTGGTGGGATTCCCAGCTCAATCCATGTTTTCCCTGCCCGCAGGCAGTCCCCCGGTGGGGCGGATCGTGATGACAGCCGCTGCCAAGCACCTGACACCGGTGACACTGGAGCTGGGGGGCAAGAACCCCTGCTATGTGTCCGACACCTGCGATGTGACCAACGTGGCGCGGCGCGTGGCCTGGGGCCGCTTCTTCAACGCGGGCCAGACCTGCATCGCGCCCGACTACCTGCTCTGCACCTTAGAGATGCAGGAGAAGCTCATGCCCGCCTTGCGTGAGGCCATCACCGAATATTTTGGCCCCAACCCCCGAGAATCCCCGGATTTTGGCCGCATTGTCAGCGACAAGCATTTCCAGCGCCTGCGGGCGCTGCTGGGCAGCGGGCGCGTGGCCATTGGGGGACAGACGGATGAGGCCGAGCGCTACATCGGTGAGGCTTGGGGGTCACTCACATCTTGGTGAGCACATTGTGGGGTTTTCAGGGGGTCTGCATACAGAGCGGAGGCTCTAGAGGGAAAAGAGTTTTAGGGATGCTTAAAAATGGGTCCCGAGGGGAGGTTTAATCTCCGACTTCTGTGCCTGGCTGACACTGTCGGGTTTCCTCTCCGCAGCTCCCACGGTGCTGGCAGATGTGCAGCCCTCGGACCCTGCCATGCAGGAGGAGGTCTTTGGGCCCATCCTGCCCATTGTTGTCATCGCCAACATGGATGAAGCCATTGACTTCATCAACGCACGGCCGCGGCCCTTGGCTGTCTACGCCTTCTCCTGCGACAGCAAGGTGTGTCTGTGGGGCAGAAAAAGTGGGGAGGGAGGTCAGGCACCACCTCCACGAGCCCTAGGATGTGCTCTGAAGGGTCTTTAGAGCCCAAACACTTTGGGAACATCCGATGGGCAAACTGGATAATGTTTGCCAAGTGCAAGCCCCTCATGTACCTTCTCTGCTCCCCCCCAGATAGTGAACCAGGTCCTGGAGCGGACGAGCAGCGGTGGCTTCTGTGGCAATGACACCCTGATGCACTTTTCAATGACCTCTCTGCCCTTCGGAGGTGTTGGTAGGTCCAAAATCCCCATTCCTGGCCATTGGGAGCCAGGTGTGATCCGTGGCCTGAGCCATGGTGAGGAATGTGAGTTTCTTCCTGCAGCTAGTGTGGTTCTCAGCTGGATCCTTTAATGTCCCTCAGGAGCCAGGTTGTACCTTCATTCCAACTTTTAGGACAAAATAGTAGGAAAAAATGCTTATGAAAACCTGGAGAACCTCTTACAGGATCTTGGAGATCCTCCTTGGAGAAGAAGAAATATTCGGTCTCCAGAGGCACCAATTTTTGCTTTCTCAGGTGAAAACTGAGGCTGCTTAGCCCTGGGCTGTGGGTGCAGCAAGGTCCAGGGAAACAGGAATACGGGAATGTTGTTTCCCCAAATACTTCCCCATGACTTAATCTCTTCCCAAAATATTTCTGGGATAAGTCCCTGCATTTGGTGCTACCCTTGCTCAGTATCTCTGTCAGGGCTGGCATCTGAGTCAGACATAATGAAACACCCAGACAATTAATTCCTCACCTGCCTGTGGCTCAGGGAACAATTTTTTGTACTTCCTATTCCGTAACTTATCTTAATTGGGAATGATTCAAACCAACCACCTTCAATTATTAGGTAAAGCCCCTTTAGAGCAGGTGAAGGGGCTGAAGTCATTGGGGTGAGATGGCACCAAAGCTTCCACGGAAGTCACTGGCCTCTTAATCTCCAGTTAAACCAGCCACAGGAACTGGGAAAACTGGTGTTGCCAATATGGCTCCAGGCTTTTAGAGTTCCGGGAAGAAGGTCGAACAGCTCCAACCGTGGGGAGATACGGTGGAGCATCAGGGAGTGAAATCAAGACTTGCAGAACCCAGCAAAGCTTGTGTACATAAATGGAGGTGGGTAGAAAGGAGACGCTGGGGCCTCCAAACTGCTGAGCTGCAGCAGGATTGGCTGGACTGAGCATCCATATACCTGGAGGAGGCACTGGAAAAATGGAATTCCTCCGCCATGTCTGTGCTGCTCAGAAAATCCTGTAGGTGTCTTTTCCCCTCATTTTGATGCTTGGAAAAGGCATCATCAGGAGCAGAGTCCTGTCCTGAGCATGGACCTGTCCTGTGTGTTCCAGGGAACAGCGGCCTGGGAAAATACCACGGGAAGTTCACCTTTGACACCTTCTCCCACCACCGGGGCTGCCTGCACCGGAGCATGGGGCTGGAGACGCTCAACACCCCGCGCTACCCGCCCTACACCCAGCAGAAGTTGGGGCTCCTCACGACCACCTTCGAGGTGAAGCGCAGGGGCACCTGCACCCTGCTCTGAGGCTGCCACGCCCTGCTCTGAAGATGCCACGGAGTCAGTGGGAAGGACTGGGACTGTCCTGCTCTCCCTCTTCACCACGCTCCCCACTTCCTCACCGTGTCCTTTGCCTCGCTGGAGCATGTCAGACAGCCGGGATGAACATCCTCTCCTGCACCCTTGTGACCTCTGCTCCAAACTGTTTTCCAGGACACGGCTGAAATGACCAAAATATTTTTCTTAGTTCAAACTTCTCTTCCTGGTGGAGAAGCGCTCCCATCAGTCCCATCTCCCCTCACACGGACTTTTCCTTTGGAATGAGCCTCTCCTTCCCCTGTTGCTCTTTGCTCTGTGTAACTTTGCCTGTAGTAAAGACTTTGCATCAAACTCTCTCCCAGCCTCTCTTTGTCCCTCCCTCCTCTGGTTTGGGGGGTTCTGGGAGGGGTTGGGGGGTGTTTCCCAAGAGGTTTTAGCTGGAATGGAGGTGTGGCTGGGCAGGCAGCCAAGGGGAAGGACAGGCAGCCAAAGGGCAGGGCAGGAAGCTGGCAGCCAGCCTGTAGCTAGGAAGAGGGAAGCTGTGGTTGATAACCCCAGTGCAACCATCCCACACTGCACCTGTGGGAGCATGGAGACTGGAACTGTCTTCCCGCAGCTGCCTGAGAGTGAGGCCAAGAGAGCCCCCGAGGGCGATGGTGGGAACGGAAGTGTGGATGGTGATGCCGCGAGGTGAGAGTGTGGAATGACAGACGGGTGGCAGGAGGGGTCCCGGTGCTCCATCCTCTCCCTGGAGTGGCACTTGGATTGCTGGGATGGAGCGATGTGGAGCTCTGAGGAGCTGGAATGGGGCTGGCATCCCTCTAACACCCCGTCCCTGCAGCAGGAACCCCTTTGCAGGGCTGGTGAGCCACCTGCGGGCATCCTGGCTCTCTGGGAAGACGCGGCCCCTGGAATACCGTGTGGCACAGCTGGAGGCTCTGGGACGCTTCCTGGATGACAAGAAGCAGCAGATCCTGGAGGCCACTGCCTCTGACTTGGGCAAGGTGAGAGGGGACAGGGACAGGAGGACTTGGTGGCCAGAGGAGCTGAGGGGCTCGCACAGCCCAGCTGGCGGTGCTTTGTCCTCCTCTCATTGGGTTCTCCAGCCCTGCCTGGGCTCTGCCTCGGGCTCGCAGCCTCTGGATTTGGGAGACTGAGATGAAGCATGTCGCTGCCACCGTAGCCCAAAGTCCATCCCTGCTCTGACATAGACAGAGGGCACTGTGGGGAGCCCCTTGACATGGATAGCCATTCCCACACCCACCAGCATCAGTTTCCCTCTTCCCTGGGCAAATTAATCCCAGATTTCTGTCCCTGCTTCCTGCCCTGGACTTCCCATCTGATGTCAGTCCCTTTCCTCCCTGAGGCTCACCCAGGCTGTGACTCCCTGAGCCCAGATCCCCTGGCTCTGCAGCCAGAGCCTTAATACCAATCAGGGCTCATTGTCTGCTCTTCTCCAACCTAGTCCCTTTGGACACCCTCCCTATTCTTCCCGTTGTCTGGATGAATAGGATCTGCATAATTTTTCCTATTTTCAAGCAATCAGTGCTTAAAAACATCATGTTGCAGAGACAGGAGGTGCTCAATGCCCTTAGGGATTCGAATCGAGCATGGGATGTAGAGGGCACCAGTCCCCAAATCCTGGGCAAAACACTATGGAGCACTGGGATAAGAGCTGCAGGATATGCCAAGGTCACATGTTGCATCCTTGGTGTCTGTAGGCACCCTTTGAAGCCGAATTATCTGAGATCCTCCTGTGCAAGAATGAGCTCCATGAGACCCTGAACAACCTGTCCCACTGGATGAAGGACGAGAAGGTGGACAGGCCTCTGGTGAGAGGGAAGAGGAGAGAGGATGGGAGGCAGAGCTGGGTGGGATGGTGGTGCAGGGTGGGACCTGACGTGGTGGGTGTCCCACAGGCGATGCAGCTGGACTCTGCCTTCATCCGCAAGGACCCTTACGGGGTGGTGCTCATCATAGCGCCCTGGAATTACCCCATCCACCTCTTCCTGGTGCCCCTCATCGGGGCCATCGCTGCTGGTGAGCCCAAACTTCCAGTCCCCTGGCCTGGAGGATCCCAGCAGTGCCAAGCACTGGTGAGGGCACTTTGTCCATAGAAGGGCTGGCTGTCACCATGTCACAGCTCCAACATCCTGTCTGTCTTCCCCAGGGAACTGTGTCATTGTCAAACCCTCTGAGGTGTCCAAGAAGACAGAAAGACTCGTGGCAGAAGCACTGCCCAGCTATTTGGACAAGGTGGGACACTCCCCATCCCTGTGACATGGCTGGGGCACCCCTGCACACTGAGGGGTGCTCTGAGCCTGCCTCCCACACCATCTCCAGTTCCATGTACTGCCCAGCTTCCTTCCTCCATGCCCAGTCAGTGTCCCAGCCTCCCAGGATGCCATTGGTGGAGACAGATGGTGACACGAGGGGGCCTTTCTCATTTCCTTGCAGGACTGCTTTGCTGTGGTGACCGGTGGTGTGCCAGAGACCACCAGGCTGCTGGAGAACAAGTTTGACTACATCTTCTTCACTGGTACGTCCCATGGGACAGAGCAAAGCCCTGCCTGGATTTTGTGTGAGGAGGAAGACAGATTCCCTCCAGACATCCCTGCTAAGAAGGCAGGGATTGGGTTGGAGATGTGTGCCAAGATCTGCTGGAGGATCTGGGATGTGTATCTGAGGTCTGGTGGGACCCAGTGCCAGACTCCAGAGCCGTGCGATGGCTGGTGGGATTCCCAGCTCAATCCATGTTTTCCCTGCCCGCAGGCAGTCCCCCGGTGGGGCGGATCGTGATGACAGCCGCTGCCAAGCACCTGACACCGGTGACACTGGAGCTGGGGGGCAAGAACCCCTGCTATGTGTCCGACACCTGCGATGTGACCAACGTGGCGCGGCGCGTGGCCTGGGGCCGCTTCTTCAACGCGGGCCAGACCTGCATCGCGCCCGACTACCTGCTCTGCACCTTAGAGATGCAGGAGAAGCTGCTCCCGGCCCTGCAAAAGGCCATCAGTGATTTCTATGGCCCCAACCCCCGAGAATCCCCGGATTTTGGCCGCATTGTCAGCGACAGGCAGTTCCAGCGGGTGCAGAGACTGCTGGGCAGCGGGCGCGTGGCCATTGGGGGACAGACGGATGAGGCCGAGCGCTACATCGGTGAGGCTTGGGGGTCACTCACATCTTCGTCCTTGCACGGAGCACATTTCAGCTTTGGAGAAGATTAGGAAGGGAACTGGGTGCTTGGCCAGGTGGGCTTTTGTACAGGAGGTGTGTCCTGGGGGGACCACCAAGGTGTCATCTCCCACCTCCGTGCCCGGCTGACACTGTCGGGTTTTCTCTCCGCAGCTCCCACGGTGCTGGTGGATGTGCTGCCCTCACATCCCATCATGCAGGAGGAGATCTTCGGGCCCATCCTGCCCATCGTCGTCATTGCCAATGTGGATGAAGCCATTGACTTCATCAACAGCCGGGAGCGGCCCTTGGCTGTCTACACCTTCTCCTCAGATGACAAGGTAGAGCCAAGCCAGCACTACACCTGCCCTGTGCTCCTTGGCAGCTGTATCCAGCCATGTTTGTGCTTCAAATGTTTCCCTTACAGCACACAGCCCCAGTTAGGGGGTATGGATTGTCTTTGGAAGTAGTGGAATGGGGTGGGAGACCCATGTCCCATCTTCTTCCTGTCACTCCCAGGTGGTGAACCAGGTCCTGGCGCGGACGAGCAGCGGTGGCTTCTGTGGCAACGACACCCTGATGCATGTGACACTGCCCTCTCTGCCCTTTGGAGGCATTGGTAGGTCCTAAATCCCCACTCCTGGCAGTTGGGAGCCAGGTGTGATCCCACCCATGGTCAGGAAGGGTCTCAGGAGGAACTCCCAGCTCCAGAGAGCTCAGTAGTCCATAGGGAAATTCTCCTCCGGAAAGCCTTTGCTTCACCTTGGGCTCTTGGGCTTTGCTGGACACCTATGGAGCACCCTGAGGTTCTTTCTCTCCATACTCCCTGTCCCAAGCTCTGTGTTTCCTGGATTCATGGAAATGTCTTGCTCACAACAAAGGGAATCAGGGCTTGAAGCAACCTGGACTAGTGGAAAGTGTTCCTGCCCGTGGCAGGGAGTGGAACTGGATAATCTTTAAGGTCCTTTCCACCCCAAACTATTCTGGGATTCCATGATGGAGACATCTGTGTTTCATGAGATGATCTCCACTACCAGCTCCTGTTTTCCACTCCAGTCTTCCACCTTTTTTCCTCTCTTCCCACTCAGCTGGCCAGGAGGCATCAGTGACCTCCCGTTATCCTGTGGCTGCTGTGTGAGGTACTGCAGCCAACGCATCACCCCAGCCACAGTTAGCATTTTGTCAGGCAGACTGACTGGCTCAGGCTGACTCATGGCATTTTATCCCATCTGTTACCAAATTATGTGGGGATTTCGTTATTTTTTGACAGCCTGCCTGGCTTTCCTGTGCTTGTTGCTGGCCAGCCAGCTTCCACCTCCCAGCATTCATCCTTGGTGCTGGAGCCCACCTCGCCAAAGGCACCTCGGTCATCGTTCCTCTCCACCCCTGCAGTCTTTCCCCCTTGCAGCAGGGTTGGATCCAGCATGGATGGGATCCAGCATGGATGGGATGTCTTTTGGAGGGTATTCCTGTGGTAGGGAAGCTCATGTGGTGGGAACATCTTGCTGCTGCCATCACCTCATCAGTGACACCCTTCCAGTTGCTAAACATGTTAATTGAAATGGTAAAATCCACTGATGACAGAGTTTTTGGGAATCTCTCCACCTTCCAGCCTAATCTTCCCACTCCAAACATCCACTTGGGTGCTCACCCCCGTGGTCCTCTTTGGGTCACATTCCTGGAAGCTCATCCATAGCTGGATGAAGTCGTGGTGCCGCTTTTACGGAGCTGGGAGCTTAATTTCGGCCTCTTTGACCCAAAGGGTGGCCAGATGCAGCTGCCCAGCGGGGTGCTGTGCTGTGTATTCCAGGGAACAGCGGCCTGGGGACGCACCACGGGAAGTTCAGCTTCGACACCTTCTCCCACCCGCGGGGGTGCCTGAAGCGCGGGATGGGCCGGGAGCCGCTCAACGCCCCGCGCTACCCCCCGTACAGCCCGGAGAGCTTCGGGCTCATCCGGGCCGCCTCCCAGGTGGCACGTAGGAACGGCTGTACCCTGCTCTGAGCCTCTCCACGCCCCGCTCGGAGCTCAGGACATCTCCTGCTGCTGGTCCCGGCGCCCAGGTGCAATGAAAGGTGTTTCTCCACATCCCGTGTGCTTCCCTTTCACCTCCCTTTTGCATCCCTGCTCA